TATATATATATATATATATGTGTGTATCAATCCATTTTCTGTATCCTACATTATCCTTTTTTATATATATATATATATATATATAGGATAGAAGAAAAACTTTGGAAAGATTAAAGATAGAATGAAAATGTGAATTGTAGAGAAGATATAAAAATATTGAGAAACAAGATTTATGTAAGATAAAAATAGGAATAGAAATAGGAAAGACAGTGGAAGCACAATGATTTTGGTAGGTAAATGTAGGTAAATTTTTTAAAGGCCAAAAATGAGAAGGATAGATGAGTGTGGATAAGAATGTAAATTAAGTCCCTTCTATGGCACTGTATGCTAGAAGTAGATAAAGATTTCTTCTATTACAGATAAGACAGAGAGAGAGAGAGAGAGAGAGAGAAGCTACAGAAATATTTCAAATACGTTCTAACTCTAACAAAGATCAAATGTATTGTGTATATGTTTTGTTATTGTTATAAAGATATCTGTATTTTCAGATTTGACGAAAAAGAAATCGTATTGTTAGAAATCGAGATCATTGAGAGGATATAAAAGTTACACACCTGACAAAGGTGAATGGCAACGTGGTAAGGTAGGCGACGTGGTTGCGATGAGAGACTTGCGATGAGCCGCTTTAGCGGCACGACGAGAAATGTTGAAATCACGCTGGAACAATAAACGTTAATTCCAGGTAAACACAAGTAAGTGTTACATATGATTATGTGAACCGGTCGAGATGTACTAACCACATGAACTGATAGAGAAGGTGCCGACTTTCCTATCGCAGAGTTTCTCATGCGAACAAGATTTGACAACTCTCCACTAACTAAAATCATATAACTTTGATGTAATATGAGACGTACAGCTTGGCAAGCTAAGTTACTTCGTGAGAATGCAAGGATAAGATTTTAGTTAATAAAAATTAATATAAATTTGAAAAAAAAATCTTATTAACCAGGCCGAACTGGAGCCTCCTTGCTTTCCAATTTTGGTGGTATTGGACATTTGTGCATTTCTGTTTCCACGTTACTGGCAGTATCTTCAGCTTCATTTTGATCGAACACAAGCACCCTAGCGGAGTTACCGTGAGACCGCAGTCGTGGCCTGCTCGGTCTATTTCTCGTTTGATCCATGATTTCGTTTTCACTGAGTTTCTATCCGGTAACAACAAGGTAACTGGAAACATGGTGGATATTTTAGCAACAGTCACGCAGTAATGCGAGGTATTCACATATAAGTAGATTCGTTCGTTTAAATTATATTTCCCGTACGGTTTATTTCTCTCGTCTGCCTCTTTCTCTTTTTATAAACATACACATATTTTTTTTTTACTTCGAAATACAGAAAATGCAAGAATGTATAACTGGTAAAAAAAAAAAGAAAGAAACAATGATACAAACAACATATCATCCATAACAATCTTTCAGCAAAAAGAAAACAACGCGTAGAAACACAAGTGGGCAACCGGGGGATTTACGGGACAGACAATTGCGTTTGCACAACTCACCTTTCGAGATGCTTAACGCGAAAAGAGGAAGTCAAACGGATACAAAACATCCACGTGCAACCACGCACAACTTTCAATTCTCTCCCTCCCTCTCTCTCTCTCTCTCACTCTTTTTCTCTCCTATGTCCTTAACGCCCTCGGAAATTTCTGCGAGCCACAATCGCTGCGGAGGCCCATCCTGGGGTTGACGTTCTCCGGAGAGTCTCGCAAAGACACATCGCAAGCGAAAACGGTGCGAGGGAAATCCACCGCGATGAGGAGAAAACGAGCGGGCCGCCCGGACGCCCTGGAGGAGGGCCCGCCGCGTGGAGGAGGCGTACGAGGAGGGACGTGGTGACGGCTGGACGTTGCGGGGGGGGAGGAGGGATCGGGGGAAGGAAGCACGCACGACCCACAGCTAGGTGCACGCGACGGTGACAGCGACAGCGATCGAAGGGACGCGATTACCGGCTGCCAGAGCCATCTTCCTCGAGCGGCGGCGGCGGCGGCGGCGGCGGCGCGGCAGCGATATAGCGGTGCGACGACGAGCAACAACGGGACGGGGGCGGCAGAGCGATGATGCCTCCCCCCGGGATATACGAGAGCAGCAGCGCGCACACTTCCCACGTGCTCCCGGGACCACACAGTGTCGCGCACTTCCGCTGCTGCCGACGTGAGGCGGCCGCCGCGAGGGATGCTTAATCACGGAACGCGACCGGAGAGAGGCGACCACGGGTTCTGTGACTCATGACGGACGCACACGCCACACACATGCGCGCTCGCCGAGGCGGGCGGACGTTTACATACACAACACACCAGCGAAGGGCCGCGCGCGCGCGAATAGAAAAGCGCGCACCTCCACACGCGCGCAGTGCGCGCACACATACGCTGGTCACTGACGGCTGCTGGCTTGCAGTTTGCACACGCATACATACGCGTACCTGTACACTTGAGCCTGAGGCCTGAGTGTCACTGCCGTCACTGGGCGCGCGCACGTTGTATATGCACTGTATATATACGTATGTGTGTAAATATCGAGACTTCTCGCTATTTCGCCACATTACATCTTACGAGGATACCCTACTCCCGGAGTATATCTGTGTTTTCCTTCAATCTCGCTATTATTACGAGAGTGAGATATTTGTAGCCTGATTTCATATTCGAGATTTCATATATTCATCTTAAAGAATTAATGATGATCTTAACGGTAGATTCGCGGTCACGATAAATACTTAATTATAAGACGATCCCGAATATAAAATCGACCTATATAAATATCGCTCTATTTGCTGTATTTTTCCGTTATGTATACGTAGAGATGCTCGCACAATGAAAAAAGAAAAAGAGCAAAATTGTAAAAAAAAAAGCGCAAGATAAAGTTTTGAAGAACAAAATTATAATCTTTAAATTACGCCTTCCAATATTTATTTATTTTTAAAAATTAAAGCGTATTTGTTCCCTTCTTTATTTATAATATCGCGAAGTTTGAACAAAAACTGGAATTTTTTACGTAATTTAATAGTGCTTTATGTAATTTCCTCTTATGTTTTTCATCAACTCTCGCAAAATCCGTACCAAGTTTAACTAATTGATTCTTTAGAACAAAATTAATTCTTTACATAAACTTTTTAAGCTTCAAAAAATATGATTTTGAAATCATATTTCGATTTGAATTCAGGTTTGCAGTTTCTACATACATCCTAGTCATTTATGGAATATAGACTAAAATAGAAATTAGGTATATAAAAGGTAAATGTTTTATAGTTTGACCTGCTCCACTTACATTTTGATAAAAATATCTATTCAATCGATTTGTATTTTTGCGCAAATCTTTTCTATCATGGCGCATGCGCGTATCGCTGCATTTTTGTTGATATGACAGATCCACAGATTTCCTAACCTTCACAATCATTACAGTAATTTTTAACTCCTTACGTCTCTTTTTATATTGTTGTAACACGATTTTTAATTTTCAAACTTTTGTTCTTACGCAGAAACATCGATTGAATATATTTCTATCTAAATTTAAGCGGGTTTAAATTAAATTATTTACCTTGTTATATCTTACGTAAGAACGCCGACAAAACCACAAATTCCCCCTTGGATTAAATTGATTAGATTGATCATCTGGTTTGTATGATGTATTATATAAAATTTATCTTGTTATCTTACGTAAGAACGGTCGATAATCACAAATTTCTCTTTGATTAAATTAATTAGATCGATTATCTGGTTTCTATGATGTATTATTATTTATATAAACAGTAGCGGTGTGACTATGGACATGTACATCTGTGTTCTAATCTGTGATGAAGGAAATAGATGAATGGAAATAAAAATCTTTTTACAAATTTGATATCAATATCTTTTTCCATTTTCAGCTTTTCCATTTTCACTTTAATCAAATCTTGAGACTTTTAACAAATACAATACAGTTCCTCGACAAGCCATAATTTTGAAGCAAGCCTGGACTAAAATAAGGACAGTATTGATCAAATGAATTGAATAACTGAGGCTGTGAAAAACTGTGAATTAAATTCGATCCGATATATGATATTGGACAATAGGCAAGCTTTATCGTCAATTTGTAAGAATTCATATAGTGATCGACTAGTATTTTTCTTAAAGGAGATGATCCATTCTTTGTTGAAGATATATATAATGAGAATAATAATATATAATGAAATAACAAGCAGTTGTAATACTAGAATAAATACGTGTCAAACTGCTCTTACTGATAATTTTTGTAAATTATGTACAATCATAATTACTATTACTTAACAACGTTACATTCCTTGACAGACGAAATTTTTGTTCCCATTGCAGATATAATTATACTGCCAAGGCTTTACTCTCTGTCAGTATGCTCACCGTATCGAGAAGCTTATGTCAGAAGAATCTTCAGCAGAGTACAACGAGCCACTTTGTCATTTGCTCCGTGAGAAATCGTCATCGTACCTGGACATACAAGAGATTTCTCATTCAAGATAAATTTGACTGTAGAAAGCCACGGTATTTGAAACTGCAAAAATGCGACTTTCGCACTACGCAAAACTTGCACGTTCCACCGTTGATAGCTTTGCTTCTGCGCCCCGTCTTACGCATTGGTTCCTTACTGATGGGCCGCGGTATGAAGAGATGGTGGTTACGCAAGTCCGACACAGAGAAGGAGGAATATAAGCGGTGGTTCGGGGAAAGAAGCAATATATTTCTGGGTAAACTCTTCAGAGATTGCTTGCGATATTCGCTAAATTGTAGTGTAATAGTATTGTGCCACGCTTCATCTACATTTCTTTACTTTTTACAAGGCTGCTTTGGACTGTACGGCCTTATATTGGCTCTTTACTACCTAACTCATCTTGAAACTGATCCACTGACAAAACGTTCGAGATTTATAATGTTTAACCGGGAACAAGAGAAGAAACTGGGGAAAATGGTTCTTGAAGCTGTAAGTAAACTCATGATGCAGTCATAATGATGTAAAGATTAAAGATTTTAAAGCATTCGTAGATGCATATGTATGCAGAAATATCCTTCAAAAGTTTATAACAAAATCTTACATTTCACTCAGCATTTGGAAGTTCATAAAGCAGATTTGGTGCCGCATTCTCATCCAGCCTACAAGAGACTCATAAGGGTGATTGAAAAAATTTTTACAGCTAATAAAGACTTAAAGTTGATGAGAGATACACAGTGGACTTTAACTGTTGTTAATACACCATTGACAAACTCATATATTTTGCCGGTACGTATATAAATAATTACCAGCATTATACAGCAATGTATTCAGTACACGAATTGTGTATATTACTTTTATTTTACTTTTTCCTAATTTTCTTAGGGCGGGAATATCTTTATATCCTTAGACATCTTGAAAATTATCGAAAATGACGACCAATTAGGTATCGTTTTAGCCCACGAAATGGCTCATTCGCTGCTGTTACATAATGTAAGTAATAACACGAATATTTTCAATGTCAATTCCTTGTAAGAGTAATCGGTGATTTTTATCCACAGCTTGAGATATTGTCGGGTCAATTGATGTGGGACTTTTTAATAGCGGTACCCATATTATTAATTTGGGCATTATTTCCCGACATGGCAGCTGCTCTAATTCACATGATAGGAGAACGAATTGTGACGGTCATGTACAATCTTCCATTCAGCAGAGGTTTGGAGAATGAAGCTGATGAAGTGGGGCTTAAATTAGCTGCAAAAGTACGTTACGCAACGGCATAATAGAATCCAATATTATTATATTTGGCATTTTGTATTGTCGCTCATGTATTTATACGAAAATTAATTGTTAGCTGTTTTTGAATAATTAATATGCGCATCTGTTCGTTACACAGGCTTGTATTGACATTCGTGAGGCCGTTGTATTTTGGGCTACAATGAGGACGCTTACGGAAATGCATACATTGCCCACAGAACTGCCTGGATGGATATCGACACATCCTGCTCATGGAGATAGAGAGAAGCATTTGAATGCAACCATGACGAAGGCATTAGAATTGCGACATGATTCAGGGGTATATCATTTAACTTTTGTAATTGTTAACTATTTAATTATGAATATTGACACGTCTAATATCATCATTTTATAAACTATTTACTATTGCAATTATCATGCAATCACAAATCACATTGTATTTTACTGCATATTGCAATTATTATGCAATCACAAATCACATTGTATTTTATTTATTATATATATATATATATATATATATATATATTATAATAAAAAAATATATGTATATATTACAAAAACTTTCTAATTTTATTTGCAGTGTGCGGTATTGCCGGCTGCCGATCCAAGAGATAAGTTTTACAAACGATCAGCAAAAGAACAGGAAACTTATTTTAAACAGAGAGGAATAATTTAAAATAGAAATTAGAAAAGCAATTATTCTGCCATTGTGCCTAGAGTTTGATTTTTCTTCAAAAGTTATCTTTATATATGTTGTAAACATATTTTTATGTAATTATATATACTATAATAAAATGTGTATATATTTAAATTATATTATTAGTATATAAAATCTCTAATGTAAGATGTATATAATATGTATGTAAGATATAATAGTATAAAATTAATAATTTTAATTAAATTGTAGACATGGTACACTTAATATTTATTTTTATATTTTTATAATTCATTTTTTTAATGAAAATGTTCATATCTTCTTTTAAATAGAGCAATAGAATATTGCTAGAATATTATTTTATATATAATATGTTTCATTTTTCTTTAAAAATTTCTGTAAAGAGTGTGTATGTTACAAAATCAGACTGCGTTCAGTGTGTACAAATTTTAGCCATCGTGTTTGTTACATATTTTATACGTACATGGCACTGCCCTAAATCATGTATTAATATGAACGTGTCATATAAATAATATATATTTCGTTGTCTCGACTGATCGATTTATTGACAAATTTTGTTCTCATGTAATAAATAAGGTCATTTGAAATAACAAGATTTATATTCGAGAATAAGTATATTTTTTAATAAATACAATATATTAATACTGCTGTATTATGTTTCGTCAGTATTAATTAAAGAAGTCATTTACGAATAATAGAAAATATGTCTATTAATATTAGAATGAGTAATATCATAATGTGATTGACTGACTGAATTTATCGCGATTACCTTATCGTCATCCTTCCTGTTCTGCAGATTCTGTTATATGCACTTCATTAAACTGGCCAGTGATTTATCATGCTATTTCTTATTAATTCCTTTGCCTGGTCGGACGTGTATTAAAATTTTATAGAAAAATATTACACAAAAAATAATTCTACATTGTTTTCGCAGTGCAATCTTGTACATTAATTATTTGTTTAAAATTATTGTTTGTTCGTGTAACAAAAACTCGTAAGTGAAGTGTTTCACCGCAACGACGATGAAATCTATATTATTATTCAATCTGCTAATCGTGTCTGTGCTAATCGCGTACAATATCGATACAAATTATCCAATATTGTATCCAAACAGTGCGACTAATGCGGACCAATATTTGCACACGAAATTCGAACGCAGTTATTTCGGTTATTCAGTGTTGCTGCATCGTGATTTGCAGAAAAATATTTCATGGCATGTATATGTATATCAATTCAACATTTTTGTAAAACAGCTTATAAGACTGTGACATGAGATAGTAATAAACAATTTAAAAGTTTTTTTAAAAAGTCTTTCGAAAAAGAGATCATTATGTGTTTGTTAAATATCGACTAACTAGAATTTAGTTAATTCTGTAGTGCTACATATATTTACTATTTGATTTCTATGTTTCTTTTCTTCTTTTTTTCTTCCTGTATTTTTATATAATTTTGTTGTAACATATAATGTTCAAATTCTTCTTACATTAATATTTTTAAATCTTTAAAATCTTTGGAAGAATATTTCTAGAACAGGATAAATTTTACTGTTATTGCTACGTTTTTTGAAATGATTTGTCGTTATTAGAACTGTATTAAAATGTATATATATTTTTTTTAAACAGGCTGTTCATAGGAGCACCTCGTGGAAATTATACTACGCGATCACGTTTTAGACTTTTAAACGAACCTGGTGTAGCCTATCGCTGCAGTTTACCGGGCTCATGTGTGGAGATCACACCGACTTTCGTAGAAGACGAAGAATTAGACATACCCCAAATTGAAATGCACGCGTATGTAAAGAAGAAACATTCCTGGTTCGGTAGTGCAATGTCGATAGAAAGAAACAGCGGTTTCCTGACGGTATATACGAAAGATATGAGAAATTAGTCAGGATTGTTATGACTTAAACATTTATATTTATAATGTATTATATGTTTCTCAGAAAAATGTTTAACAAGTAAGCAAAATAACGGCCGAAATAGCTAGATAAATCTATTGATTAAAAATTATAACAGCTGAATGAAGCTGTTGAATGAAAATTTTGTAAAACGTTTGCTATGAATTTTGTCGAATAGCGATCAATATTTTAGCAAAATGTGATAGTAGATCGATTATAGAAACTGGGTAGAATTAATTTTGTAATTATTTAAATATTTTATTATTAAAATTAAATTTAGAAGTTGTATTAATATAAAGATTATATAATATGTAATATACATAAAAATATACATATAATACGTAGACTGTATTGTATAGTATGTATTTAAAACACATTTAAAGCTATAGTTCTTGTTATAAAGATGTTTTTCTACACCATTATTATTTTATTGCAGATATGTGCTCCGCGAACGATTCTGAGTATTATATCTAATAGTAAGATATATGTAGAAACCTTGCACGGCATGTGTTATAGCAACAATATGTCAACGACAACATTAAAATCAGAAATATCTGAAATTAGAAATTTTGGTAATTATATTTTTCCGTCGTTATCTTGACATCTTATGGCTTCTAATTGGTGAATTTCTAATCGGTATAATCTATAAGTATATGTCTAATTCTTTATTTCTTTTAACAATTTCATCTCTTTATTAAAACATATCAATATTTCATCTCTTTATTAAAACATATTAATATTAAACATATTAATTATATATATATATATATATATA